TTTTAAGTGCGATCTAAATATACACTCGCGAATATGCGATTGAACTCCGAAGCGAAAGGCGGCCTCGCTAATATGTGGAACAGCAGCGTGGTGAAAAATTGACACGAGGACCAAAAATATTAGTCTTTCCCCTTTCGCGAAAATTCGAGAGAGACAATTCGCATCGACAGTTTCACCGTACGAACCCCGCGAGCTACGAAATGGAAAATTAATTCCCGGCGACACGCTAGGAAAAAAAGACGCATACATATACATACATATATATATCGCGGGGAGGAACCCCACGATCGATACCCATCGACAAAGAAATTCGCGACCCATTTCACCGCGAACAAACCGACGAACAGCGATTTTCGATCGTTGCGCGCATAAATTACGCCCGGAAATTCGCGAGGGAAAGAAAGAGAGAGAGGACCGAAGAATCAGAGAGAATGCCGAGACTCCCGAAGAGGGAAGGCCGGTTTACATATCGGTTTACGATATTTTTACGCGACGACGAGATTTTCCCCGGCGGCTGCAATTTGATGAAACGTGTCGGTGCAGCAGCAGCAGCAACGGGGTGTCAGTGACCCCGTGGCCAGAGAGGTCGGTTGCTGCAGGTATATAGGAGAACGCGAAACCGCGGCCGCTTGCGCGCGAGTGTTGATATCGATTTGCCATCCGTGTCTGCGTTCGATGCGGGAAGAAAAAAGGAACGGCCTCTCCTTGACGTTCGCCGATATCGGCCCCCGCAAAAGTCCACCGTTTATTCACTCCGACGAGAGGCCGCTTCCTCTCTCCTTCTTTCGAGTGCATATCCTTATTCTCGTCGTCGAACTCGCGCGCGAACTCTCGATCGAGAGGATTCGCTCGATATCGAGAAAGTATTGGCGGATGCGAGAATCTATAGCAAACCCAATTCTACATCCAGGGTTTGCTGTTATCTAAATGAAATTGTATAGATGATTATCTAGACGAAACTGGCGTCATCTTATCTTTATATATAGATAATCAATAATATAAATAATAAAAATAATATATATAGATAATAAAAATAATATAGATAATAAAAATATTATCTATATCTCTGCATATTAGAGGAAAAAGATTATTTATAGAATAATTTTCAGATAATTTTGATTTAGAATACATGCACATAAAAATACTTAAATAGTAGAACTTGAGCACAGTAAGCGATAAAGATTTATAAATAAAAATATGAATTCATATATTCTTATATCCTTTTTATAATTTAATTTTTTATAACTGTATTTATATAAGCAGTCTTAAAAATTATTATCTAGAAAATTATCTGAATGAGACGCCATATAACTTTATCTTTTATCTAGATATATTTGAAACAAAATCATTTTCTAATTTTTTTCCGTATATAGTCAACGAAAAATGATTTTTACTTACTTCTTCATGATTGAAAGTGTCTATTTAAATCGCATATTTTTTCGCGGCGTCTAAACTTTTTAAATTTCTTTCTGGGAGCTCTTAAATCGAGCACGGAAGAGGACTGTCCAACATGGAAAATATAAAGTCCCCTTTCTTTTCCCTCTCATTGTCAGAAAATTCAATAGCTATAAAAATCCTCTGGAAACGCGACGCGTGCAATAACCATAAACCGGAACTTCCGCTTCGTTTCACTCGTTAAATTACTATAGAGCGTTCACCATCGTGTCCAGCCTGAGATAACTCGACTATTGACTCATCGAGATATATATTCACGATATTTGGCGATAAATCGTAGACGATAAAACGAGGCGAGCTCATTTTAGATCTTAGAATTTGTATTATAGTAAAGCTGATAGATAACAAATTTCATTTATTTCTTTATGATTTAAAAAGTGTCTATTTAAATCGCATAATTTTTCGCGACATTTCAACTTCGCAAAAAAAAATTAGTCACCATATACTGTAAAAAAATATGTAATATATTACCTAAAAATATGTAAAATTACATAAATAAAAATGTAAATGATGAAAATATGTATATCTTTTTATTATTATTTATCATGTAATTTCACATTTCTTATTCATGTAATTTTACATATTCTTATATAATATTACATATTTCATTATTACATATGTAAATTACATGATGTATTATTATACATATATGTATTACATTACATTACATTTACAATTATGTATTATTACATATGTAATATTACATATTTTTTAACTAAATTTTATCTGTCCCTATATACACACGAAATTTAGGTATCATGCCTAAATTTTAGCTACTTTAGCTAATCTTTTTTATTCAAGTTGTAATATAGGGACATCTAAAATTTAGCTATGGCGGCTAATTTTTGTTTCCTGCAGTTCTTAAATTTCTTTCTATTCCCAATGAGATTCGGAATCGCCTTCGGGGGCTCTTTTAAGTCGATAGGTGGAATGATGAAAATTTAAAGGAATTCGATAGATCGATGAACTCTCAGCGCAAGAACAAAGGCGGTCTTGCTAACTGATGCGAACCGAGGAAAGTCTTAATGAAGTTTCATGGGAAGAAGGAACTGTCTCTCTCTCTCTCTCTCTCTCTCTTTGTCGTTCGCCGACTCGTTCGCGGCGACTTGTGCGATTGAGATTTCTGCGGGCAGGTGATCCCCCATAATAAATCGTATTGTAAGCGAGAGATCCCTCCGGGCAGCCACCTGCGAATCGATATCGACGACGACCGGTCCAAGGTGGCCCCCGCATGCAAATTCAGGGAGAGTCGCGAGAGAAGGAAGTCCAGTCCAGTCTCTCTCTTCCTGTCCTCCTCTCTTTCATCTTCCATCTCGCCTTTTTTCCTCCTGATCTCCCGGAGTGGACAGGGAGAGAAACCCTATTCTTCTTTCTTCGGCTGGTTACAGAGTGTCACACGGAAAAAAAGGATTGGCTACCATAGCTAAATTTTAACTGTCCATATATTATACATGCTTAGTTATATCATGCTTAAATTTGAACTATGACAGCTAATATTTTTTAGCTATAACATTCTCCGTTAAACTATGGCTATAGAAAATATTAGTTATACCATAGCTCAAATTTTGGCATGATAACTCAATTTCATGTGTAATATATGGACACACTGTAAAAAAATATGTAATATATTACACGAAAATATGTAAAAGTACATAAATAATAAGTGTAAAATTACACGATAAATAATAGAAATTTTTATCTTTTTATTATTTATCGTGTAATTTTACACTTATTATTTATGTAATTTTACATATTTTTAACGTAATTTTACATATTTTTTACAGTGCAGCTAAAATTTAGCTATAGTAGCTCATTTTTTGTTCCGCGATGACGCCGAAGGTTCATCTAGATGATCATCTATATAATTTTATTTAGATAACAGCAAACACTGCTTATTATACACTTGGCGTGAAAGGATAAAGTGTAATTTGATGTAAAATAAATAAATCCGAGAAGAAAGAAAGACTTAATCGCGTTTAGCGCTAAAATAAGCGAGGCGATAGAACCCGATAAATAAATAAGTCTCTTTAAATCCGTTAACGAATTAATCTCGGCAAGTGCGAGAAACCCGACGGAGGAAAAGAATACGAAAGGCGTTTCTCGTCGTGGTGCATCTTATCTTTATATATAGATAATAAAAATATGTATTATCTATATCTGCATCTTAGATGAAAAAAAGTATTATCTTTATTAAATGATCTAGAATAATTTTTAGATAATTTTGGTTTAGAATCGTAGCATATAAAAATACTTAAATAGTAGAACTTGAGTAGTAAGCGATAAATTTATAAATAAACATATGAATACATATATTTTTATATCCCTTTTAAAAATTAGTCTTAAAAATTATTCTGGATGAATTACCATATAATTTTCTTTTGTCTATAGATATATATTTAAAACAAAATTATCTTTATCTTATCTAAGATAAATTTACATATTTTTATATTTCATCTTTATCTAGCTAATTTTGAAATCATTTAACCACAACACCACTGATAATAAGCAACTAGGAAAATTGAGTTTTCCTCTCTCGAATTAGACACATTCATTTGTTTGATCAACGTATAATATTATATACAATTTTCATGTATCAATGTATTGTTGATATAAATCGCAGATATATAATCGTACATTTGCGAATCTTTAATATTGACAGTAATTTTACCATAGTACCTGTGAGAATAACATTTTATTGATTTTATTCATAATTGGGCATTGATAATCCCCGAGGCGTTACGGGAATTAAAATGTATTATACATTTGCCTGTAACTAAATTAATTGTAAAGCCGACATACGCACACACATACATATCGATGAATATAATATAATATTCACTCGTCATGTGCGATAATAGCGACGCAAATGACTCTGATAAATCTCGAAAACGATAACCCATCCCGACGATTGGCAAAAAGACCCTTTAAAACATTATCTGTGCCATATCATGACGAAACTTTTGCTGACAATTAGTATACAATAGATTACTAGATCACTAGATTACTATGAAAACTTTTTCATCTTTTTATCTGCCAATGACAATAAAGAAATATCAGAACTCGCATATTTCTGTCAATTTATTCGTTAATATATATTTCAATCGAAACATTTATAATCAAATTATATTTCCATATTTAATCATTTTAAATCTCTGTTAATATTATATTAATGTGATTAAATCTACTTCTCTTAAACTGAGATGAATTCCATCTAAAAAATATTTTATACTTAAATGTCAGTCATATTCAAAATCTCCGATTTAATAGATTAAATAATGAAGAATTATCTTTTAAAAATATTTTTTTCTAAATAAGAAAAAATGTTATTTTTTCTCTTTTGAGCTCAATTTTATTATATTGCGATGGACTACACGAATCTTATTATATTGTGGTGAGAGAAACAACACTGATCTCATACAAAATTTCATTTATTTAATGTCCGAAAATTACGCATTTGATAATTAATTACTTAATATGTACTTGATAACAATTTTTTGAAATATTAGTTATTATTATGACGCTATAATTTGGATTCTGTATTACAGATAAATTTAAGCGGACAACCCTGACAACTTTCAAGGAAAAGGAAGTTTCAAGCAGGCATCGGGCACCAGCGGAGCAACCTGAAGGTGAATATTCATTATTTGTTTATTAATAATTGTATTATTTGTTGTGACGTACATACTCGTTAATTCGATTCATTTATGATTTAAACAAGAAGAGCTCAGAAAAGAAAATAATATATATAATTTATATACAAATATAAATCTCTTATAAAAGTGTTCAAATATTTTATATAAAAAATGTATTTTAGAAATTTTATAAAATTATTCCATATTTATATATTTTATTCATTGGAGTAAAATTCGGCGTGTGTAATAATAATAATAATAATAATTTATCGATATATTAATTAACTCCGGCATTACTATAATTTGGATTTTATATTTATATAGTACAGACAAAGTAGCTTCGATTTCAATAAACTCCGCTGTTACGCATCGGTGCTGCATCGGTGAGTGATAAACTTTTATTTAATTCTGAGATAACGGATTTGTAGAAATTATTTGTAGATTGTAGGTAGATTGTAAAGTGTAGATTTGTAAATAGTTTCGTTGCCTCAAAATGGATGAGTTAAAACAGATTAGGGTAAATAACTTTCAATAAGTTCTTTCGACATTGCATCTATTGCAAAAGTAAATTATAAAGAATAAATTAAAAAAAGAATAAAACATGTTTTTTTTTAAATTATAGATTTCTAATTTATTGAATAAATAACGCTATTTTTTAAAATTATATATGATTAATCTTACAATCGTGTGCCATTCTTATCCTAATTTTATAGCTCATCCATCTATATTCTAGAACCCTGTAGTTAAACTTTGCTTTAACCGATGTAAAGTCAAGTGATCTGTCAAATTACTTGTAAAAGAATGATAAATAATATAAATTTTTTAAATTAAAAAATATTTATTACAAATATGAAGATTAATATAAAAACAATTTTATTTTATTTTGTCATAAATTACATTTTATAAATGATACATTACTATAAAAATTTCAATCAATTCTATTGAAAACTTGGCTTTTTTTGGATAAAGTAAAGTAATATTAAAATCAACATCCAACAAACGATTGTCAACGAGCGTGATATATTTCCACTCATATGCCGGCAACAATAATTAGCTGGCAAAAAAAAAGTTTCTCGCTCTCTTCGATTTTCACGCGTGCGTTTAACAAACTGTCAAAGTGCATATAAAATCTTTGCGGTTATTCGCCGGCGATAAATAGTCGGTAATAAAAAAGTATCTCATTTTTCGATTTCTAATCGAAATGTACGACCAGAAAAGGTAAGTCCAACTGGTCCGAAGAAAATAGGCTGCGCAAAATAAGGATCAATATTATATAGTCAAAATGCATAGCGAGAAATAATTATTATTTATGTTTCTATAGAAAAAATATAAATAATTTAAAGCCATAAGATTAAATTCACTTTTGAAGAAAATGATACAGTAAAGAATGATGATGTATAAACACATATACACCTTTTTTTTGATATTCTCTGCATTTAACTCTTATGTCTTATGTGATACTTTGGGTGGGTGATACTTTGATGATGTTTTAGAGTTTTATTTCATGAATAAACACGTGCTTTTTTTATTTTTTAAATGTGGAATATCTTTTCTGATGAAATCTTATGAAGGAATAATATAGATTTGTTTATATATTCGCGTTACAATACTTTTTTGCGAGAAACTGTGAGCTGAGTGGATCTTGTCTTCACAAAACAAACATTTTTCCGTGGATTTAATGAAATCTGAGATCAATGAACTCAATACAATTCACCATTAATTATTACAAATCTCGCTCGACGAACTTGATATTTCGACTTAAATGTTTCAACACAGATAGCGTTCATTCAGCTCCCAAATGAAAACTGCAGATATTTTTGATAAATTTATCATATATTCGTTACGAGAAACACCGAATGCAGAATCTACCATAAAATAAAATCATAAAAAAATTAACCACCATAATTAAATTTTAGCTACATATATGATAGCTAATATTTTTTAGATATAGAATTCTTTATTAAACTGTAGCTAAAAAATATTAAGAATAATATATGATATTTTAAATCGGCCAATAGAGCCCAAGCGCGAAAAATTAATTCTTCGGTACTGTATCTCTTGGTTAGTAATCTCAAACCAAGAGATACAGTTCCGAAGAATTAATTTTTTGCGCTTGGGCTCTATTGGTCAATTTAAAATATCATATATTATTCTTAATATTGAGAGCCGATAAAAATATTTCTCATTTAAAAAATATTAGTTATTATAGCTAAAATTTAGGCATAACTAAATTTTAGGTTGCAATATAGAGACAGCTAAAGTTTAGCTACGGTGGCTAATTTTTTCTGTCTATAGCAATGTATACAAATTTTGGAAATATATCTTGCGAAGAATGGAAACTAAAGATTCCAGAAGACAAATCAATTTTTTAAAATTTTCCAATAATTTCGAGCATATAACAGTCTGGGAATGGGAGGTTCCATTTACTTTAATTAAGTATATATACGCTTGTTAATCACATCTTATGATGGCAAATGGAGATTATCAAACTATTATCATCGATAGTTATTAACACTTCTATATCTGCTTGATATCTTGTGAAATATAAAGTAGAATAAATTATTAATATATAGGATATATACAATGTATAAAATGTATAGAGTAATTTTTTCTACTTTATACATATATACTGCGTTAAAAAATAAAGAAAAAAAAAGAAAATATTTCAAAATATGCGTAAAAAAATATATACATACATATATGTATATTGCGAAATATTTTTGATAAATGACTGTTTGTTTTAACAACAATGACTATAATACTTCTACGTTCATTCCGGGAATTAATCAACCATGTAAGCTGATAATCACAGATTCTGATAATTATAGATCACGTCAGCGTTTCCCGACAGTTTCCATAATAGCATCTCGAATAATAATACGACAGAGCGTTTCTCATCACTATCTTTCTATTCGAATCCCGCTTAATTATACCAAGATGATTCGATGACGTAATAGCTATGTATCGACAAACAATTGATTTATTATTATTACTATACAATATAAATATTTGGAATATTCTGTATTTCTTGAGCTTCAAAAGTTCACTAATTAATAAACTAATTAATTGCGACTCGCGGGATACGTCATCTCTCTCAAATCAATAATTAAATTTAGGGTGTCTAGCGGTCAGGGAATTTTAAATCTGGAATTGTCAGGGAAAAGTCAGGTACTATTTGGATTTTTTCACATTCTACATTTGTCTCAATAATTTGAAATTTTTTATTAAATAAATATAAACTTTTCCTTGACTCCCAGCTAATTTTCTGTGTTGTTAAAAATCGATTCATCTACAGCGTGTTCATTAATTTATATTTTCATCGTCGTGTTATTTTATTTCAATGTGTTTGATGGAGATAAAACTAAAAAATTTGATATAATATAAATAATAATACCTATAATATAATATAAATAATTCGATTATCGTAGATAATGCAGATTGTAGAACTGATTTAAATTTTTGTTTTTTTAACTTCCGAACCTTTTCATTGTTGACAAAAATATCTCAAAGATTTCATGATTTAACATTTAATTGATTTGTCATATAGATATATGCAAATGATATATTTGGAAAAAATAATACTAAAAAGTCAGGGAAAAAATTAACTTCTGGATTTTCTTGGAAAATCTGAAAAAGTCGGAATTTTCTTCATTGAGTCTGCTGGACAGCCTGAAATTATTGTGGAATTACTAAATGCTAAGGAATTTCTGAAATTCCTTAAACTGCACATGTCATAGATTTTAGCTATTAATATAATTCTTTGTATTACACGTGCAGGCAAATTGGCACTTTATGTGCGTGTTTTCTGTGCGGAAAGCAGCCGATTTCCCACGCCGTCATTTAGCGGCGACGCGGTGAGTGAATAAGCCGCATTCAAAGCCATTGCCTACGGCTGAGCCGCGTTCAAAGTCATTGCCCACGCCTTCAGCCGTGGACAATGACTTTGAACACGGTTATTCTCGCACTATGCCGCCGCAAGATGGCGACGTGCGATCGGCCACCTCGCGCACAAAGCCACTTTGCCTGCACTTGTAATACAAAATAGTATGTGTATCACGTGCAGATTGACAATTGTTCATTCGTGTGGGGTGGTCCATCGCCCGCACTCATGACCAATTGTCAACTTTCCGCACTTGATACACAATATACTGTTATCGGATGCGGCTTGGAATACAATAAAATTCCGTGCATATACATATAGACGAGACTCGAAAGCCACATCGAAACGATCGCATTTTCAGACACGCGTTTCCTTCGAAAACGCGTTCGCAAAGATACATATGAGCCGCAACGAGCGAGCGCTCTTGTGGTCGATATTAAGCCGCGCAAAGGCTGTGCGTCGCAAAAGGGAGACAAGCGACGACGGCGCGGCGGAAAGGAAAAGAAGAAAAAGGGGGGAAAAGATCTCTCGCGGTGGCAGCCGGTCCGGCGAGTTTTTGACCGTCTGGCGCTAACTGTCGGTATCCACCTTCGCAGGTACCATAGTGCCGTCCCACACGTCGTCGTTCCACTCCAACCGCGCGTGGACCCTTTCACGGACCCTTCCTTCCTCTTCCAGCTCAGATCCGCCGACCGGACGCGCAGGACGCCCACGATTCGCGACCACGAGGCCCCCGGTGTGATTTACGACGCTCGCGTGCGCGCATCATCCGCAGACTCCTCGAAATCACCCACTCCGCTAGTCATTGTTATTTAGTTAAGCAGATTTTTGGGGAATTTTTGGAGGGAAATATCTATTATGAAAAGTATATATAGAGGAGAAAAAATAGACAAAATTTAATTAATTTTTTTTATTATAATAATTAACTAATAAAGTTTTATATTTAAAAGTAAGATTAAGAAATTATAAAAATTGAGAAAAAATATTTAATGTATTTGTTATTAATATATATTTTAATTTTATTATATATTGTTATTAATCAAAATTTGATTTATTATTTATATTTCAATTTACTAAAAGTTTAAAAGAGTATATAAATGTTTTATTTAAAATTTAAAATATTTATAGCAATTGATAATACAATGCAATAGTATAAATAATTACTCAAACAAAAAAAAATAATTACTACACACAGCTAAATTTTATCTGTCCTTTTATTACACGGGAAATTTAATTATCATGTCTAAATTTTTCTGTGATAATTAATATTGTTTTTAGCTGTAGAATTCTCCATTAAATTATAGCTAAAAAATATTAATTGCCATAGCTAAAATTTAGGTATGATAACTAAATTTCAGGTTGCAATATAGGGACAGCTAAAATTCATATATTAGAACTGATTTATTTTTCGTGCATATATTTGTTTAAATTATTTAATTAAATATTTTTATTATTAACATTTAAAGTTTTTTAAGGCATTGAAAGATACCAATGCGAACAAACA